TCAAAAAAAAAAAAAAAAAAAAAAAATGCTTGTGAAGCCACCACCCAGGTTTGTCAATTTGTGACATTTTAATATTATTGGCTATATTTAGTATACAAAGAAAATTATAGCAATATGTTGGTAGCTCTGATTTTGCACAGTTCTGATATGCATGTGTTTCATCCATTACTGTACTGAGCAAAGCAAGAACTGCTGGTAGATGTGTGTCTCGAATTTGCTGTATGCCTTATATTTTTAATACGTTTTAGGCAATCTCTTTGTTTGACATGTTTTTAGACTTTTTTTTTTTCACATAGGGCCTTGCTCTGTCACCAAGGCTGGAGTGCAGTGGCGCTGTCTCTGCTTACTGCAGCCTCGACCTCCCAGGCTTGAGCAATTCTTCCATCTCAGCCTCCCATGTAGCTGGGACTGTAGGTGCATGCCACCATGACCAGCTAATTTTTGTATTTTTTGTAGAGATGAGGTTTCATGATGTTTCCCAGTCTGGTCCTGAACTCCTGGGCTTGAGCAATCTGCCCACCTCGGCCTCCCAAAGTACTAGGATTACAAGCATAAGCCACTGCTCCTGGCCTTGTATTTAGACTTTGTTTAAACCATTTCTTGGTGATTTTTATCATTTGTTTGCTTGCTTTCTCAGTTAACATGGTCTGTGAGTCCATGTTCATACAAATAGTTCATTTGATTTCATTGCCAGATAGTATTGAATGGGAGAAATCTGCTACAGTTTATCTCTTCCCTCTTCACTGACCTTTTGGTTGTCTCTATTACAGACATTGTTGCAATGAACATGCTGGGACATTGCCTTCTGGTCCCAGGAATATGTGAGCTCCCCTAGAATATGCATGAAGGAGTGGAATCACTCCACCTTTCCCACATGATGCTACATGATGTTAAATTTTTCTCTGAAAGAAGTAATCCAAATACCTATCAGGAGGCGGCTGGTTAGGAAGCACTGCATTCAAAAAAAGTAATCTCTATTAAAAAAAAATCTTTGCCATTGGCGTGCTGAGCCCGCAGAATCGCTGCCATGGCTAAGGCCGATGTGAATCCGAAGGCCTATCCCCTCACCGATGCCCACCTCACCAAGACAATACTGGACCTTATTCAGCAGTCATGTGACTGTAAGCAGCTTCTTTGGAAAGGAGCCAATGAGGCCACCAAAACCCTTAACAGGGGCATCTCTGAGTTCATTGTGACGGCTGCAGATGCCGAGCCACTGGAGATCATTCTGCACCTCCCGCTGCTGTGCGAAGACAAGAACATGCCCTATGTGTTTGTGCACTCCAAGCAGGCCCTGGGGAGAGCCTGTGGGGTCTCCAGGCCTGACATCGCCTGTTCTGTCACCATCAAAGAAGGCTCACAACCAAAACAGCAGATCCAGTCCATTCAGCAGTCCATGAAAGGCTCTTGGTCTAAACCTGTGGCCTCTGCCACGTGCTCCCTGCCAAATTCTCCCCCAAGGTTGTGTATCATATTGTTTGTGTTAGCATGTAGTAGTTTCAGCTATTCTTTATTGTTATAAAATGTTGTAGTATTAAAAAAAAAAAAAAAACTTTGCCAGCAAACCAAATTGCCATGTATGTACCTATGCAACAACCCTGCATGATCTGCTCATGTACCCCAGAACCTAAAGGGCAATGATATATATATATATATATATATATATATATATATATATATATATGTGTGTGTGTGTGTGTGTGTGTGTGTGTGTGTGTGTATAATCTTTGCATATCTGTACAATGGAGTAACACAAAAATTTTGAACAAATAAAGATATAGTGAAGCTCTTGATATTGCTTCATGGGATAGTCTCCATTATACAATGTGAAGAGAAAGCTTATGTAGTTTGCTAATATTTGTGTGAAAAGGTAGAAGGAATATATACATATACGTTTATATTTGCTTGCATATGCATAAAATGTCTTTGAAAGAATAAGCAAGGGACTGATATCAGTGGCTGCCCGTCAGAGATGGGATGGGTTGAGAGACTTTTTTAACCTTTTGAATTTTGAATCAAGTCAAAACATAAAATAAAAGGTAATTCTAAAGGGGACAAAACAAACAAAACCAAATACCTCAAATGAAAAACTTAAAAAAAAAACTCTGATGGAAATAATTCTTTTATCTTCCTTAAGATAAAAAGTTTTAAACATTATATCACCGCTTAAACAGGGATGTTTACTAGTACTTTAATTCAATATGCTGTTTTCTTTTTAATTGCACTATCTCTCTTTACATGTCTGACTTTCATTCACTAAAAGGCAAAATGACAGCATGATTAATTAACAAATGCACTTGGTGGGTGAAGGAAATTTTAGCCAAATCTTGGTGTAAATGATGAAGCCCAATCTACAAGGGATTCTGGGGGGTCCAACGTGACAATTGTGGCTTCAGTGGGCTCAGAACGCCCTCTACTGTCCATGTGCTCTCAAGGATGTGATATTTAGAAAAGAGAACACTGATAATTATTCTGAAGGCTGCCACGATTGACTCCATTTGTTAAATTTTCAAGATCCTCATTACTAGCACATTCTAAGTCCTTGTCATACTAGATCACCAAGTATTTGGATCAGAAGGTACCACTGAGAGCTCCTAGGGTCACATCCCAGGCCAAAACAGCCAAAGGCAGTAGCACAAGCCTGGTCAGTGTGTGAGGGGTGGGAAGGACTGAGGGTGTGGGGGCCAGTTGTGGAGTGGCAGGACCCCCAGGTGCTGTGTAAAGCCAAGCCTCTGGATGGCCTCTTGCCTCACATTCAGTGCCTTCCTGGGTATCTGTCATTCCCAGGAAATCAAATGCTGCAGCTTTGGGGTGGGGAGCTCTCCAGGATGGGCCAGGCATGAACTCATTGATACTACACCTCTGCTTCCCAGCCCTCTTCTCATATTAGAAATCAAACTAGATTGCCTTAGGGTGGTGGTTCTCAAAGTGGGGTCCTGGTACAAGCAGCATTGGAATTACCCGGGAGCTTGTTAGAAATTCGGTTTTCAAGTCCTGCCCCAGACCTACTGAATCAGAAACTGCGTTTTAACAAGTCCCTTAGCAGAATTCTGCTTTTCAAACCAGCCCATCCCCCTCCCACCCACTCTCTCTCTCTCTCTCTCTCTCTCTGCCTCAAGACAATACTGAGCAGCTGTGACTTCTGGATCGTCAGATGTGGGACACGTTTCCTTGACAGGAAGCACCTGACTCCTCAGTCAGCTTCATCTGAGTCCTGGCCTGGCCCAGGGAAAGAAATTCATGTCTTGGATTCTGAGCAATGCTCTCCTGTTCTGGACGCCTGCCTTGGCTGGCAGCCTGTAGTGGGCAGGAACAGCTGGCACAGGACACTGCCAGCCCAACGACTCAGAACTCAGAACACTCTGGGCTCAGAAGTCTGAGCTACTGGGGCTCAAGTGTGGCTCCAGTCACTGGCAGTGGACCCATTCCTAAGAACTGTCCGGGCTTGAATCCTTCCCTCAACTACAGAAATGCAAATCCAACACTGACCTCATGGAGAGGTTCAGAATATTAAGGAGGAGGCACATGAAAAGTAGCCGGTGGACACTGGGGATACCGGTGTGGGCTGGGTGACAATGCTAAGGCTCAGGAAAGCTAGGGGAGACGGGCAGGTGCACCCTCCTGGGTCCGTCTCCCCCAGGCCCTGTGAGGGCAGTGGAGGCTCTCTCCAGGCCCTGGTCTGGCCCCGCCCCAGCATGTCTCCAGGTTTCTCTCAGCCCTGGTTCCTTTTGGCCCTGCAGTCACAGTGGCCAACGCTGCAATGCACCCTGTCCTGTGTCACAGAGTTGCCCACTCAGGCTCACATTACCCCTGGGCCACTTGCCAGCTGAGAGATGTGGCCACATTTTGTGCCTTCTGCACCTCAGCCTCGCTTTCAAGTACAGGTGATGATGGTGCCCACGCAGAGCAAATGGTATCTCCTCTCTTCATCCAGCCTAATTATCCAGTTTTCCAACCCTCAATGGGCAAGGAAGAGTGTGGTTTCCTCCAGAAGGCGTGATGTCAGCAGTCATGGGGCAACCAACAGGGAAAGACACTTGAAAATAGGACAAGCAGGGAAGCACAGGTACCCAGTGAGGGTGGGAACCCTGCAGCTTTGGCCGCCTTTAAGCACATTAGAGAGATTATCATTACTAACAACTTAGCCAGAAAGCTTTATTAGCTATTTTCAAAAAGCATAAAAGTATGTTCTGTCTATATTATACACACATATGTATACATATATATTGTATACACATACGTATACACATATATATATTGAGACTGAGTTTTGCTCTTGTTGCCCAGGCTGGAGTGCAATGGTGCGATTTCAGCTCACTGCAACCTCCGCCTGCTGGGTTCAAGCAATTCTTCTGCCTCAGCCTTCCAAGTAGCCGGGACTACAGGTACCCACCACCATGCCCGGCTAATTTTGTATTTTTAGTAGAGACAGGGTTTCTCCATGTTAAGCAGGCTGGTCTCAAACTCCCGAGCTCAGGCGATTCTCCCACCTTGGCCACTCAAAGTGCTGTGATTACAGGCATGAGCCACTGCTCCTGGCCTAATAGAATATATTTTTTTAATTTCCATCAATACAAAACTCTGGGCACTGCAACTTCCAGTGAGCAACTGGGACAGACGGCATCATCAGGAAGGCAGGCCGTGCTGTGCCTCAATGTGCCAGTGCCCTGGATGGTGGCAGCCTTGCCAGAAGCACCTTGAGCCTCATCTGCACAGGCCCAGGGTCCCAGCTCCCCACACACCTTCTCCTGCTTTTCCTTTTCTGTCCTTTCTATTTTTCAATAAACCACCTGCAAAAAAGGAAAAACCACTCTGAGCACAAAAACATCTCAATGAGAAATCCACGGTTGCCAAAGGTTAGAAGGCCTGTTCATTCACATTGAGAAGCTCGGGTATTTCTGCCAAAGTCTCTCCTTTTACTTTGGAATGCTGACTCCTGCGTCCATCTCAACCTGGGCATCGTGCCACCACCTTCAAGAAGAGGAAATCTAAGTAGTGCTTTGCAAAGGGGCAGCGGCATTTTTCATTTCTGACTGCGTCAGGCGCACGGCCATGCAGATGAGCAGGTGGGGGACACAGGTCAGGCCCCAGAACTGCTCTCCTCTGTACATTCTTGAGTATTTTTAAACAGTTGTGAAAATGCCACAGATACTAGCACCTGTGTGCCACCCCCATGGGGACCATTGCACAAGGCAGTGCCACTCATTCCCAGAACCTCTTACCATGGCTGCACTTAGTGACCCAAGGCCAAGCTGAGGAGGACGCCAGCCACAGTGCGCCATCCTCAGTTCCTAGGGGCACACTGCCGGCAGGGGCCAAGTTATCCATAGCAACAAAATACAGAAAGGAAGGAAAAGGGAAGGAAGTGTAGCCGGTGGACCGGTTTGGGTTCTTGACTTTGCCACACAAAACAATTTGAGAGCAAGTCCAAAGTAAAAGTAAGCAAGAGAATGATTGCAAAGTGAAAGCACACTCTGACAGCTGATCACAGCAGGCTGCTCAAAAGTGAGACAGTACCCTCCCCTCATGGGGGAGGGTTTATTCATGAAGACATGGGAAGGGGTGTTGTTTTAAGCATGTCTGTGGTCTCCTGGGTGTGCACGCACTGTGGTTGTACACTCTAGAACGTGCATCTCATGTCTCATTAGCATCTTAACTTCCCACTCAGGGCTCTGTTTCTACTATTATAATGAGCATAAATCAGCCCAAGAACACTAATTGTGGGTTTCTGTGCCTGCACAGATTTGGAGACTTTTCCCTTCTGCTCTTCCACCTCCTTGCTGCAGGATGTTCTAACCACAAGCTTAGGACATGGTGTGTGCACTGTGGAACAGCTTGTTCTCTCCATCGACCTGACAAGTCTCTTGTTTCCTTTCAAGGGAGGCTGTGAACACCCGATCTCACCTACCTCAGAAGGACAATGCAGCAGTAGCTACCATGACCAAGAGAGATGATTCCAGAAGTGCAGGACAATCCCCCCCACCCTGATGCTGTGGCTGTGCAGTTACACACAAGAGGTGAGTCCAGCTGGCTCTCAGGGTGCTCACCACCTTCATCTGGGGGCCTGGAGGACATCAAGTCCTGAGAACGCCACATTCTAGAGGAGTAGAATGAACTGACAGATACACAGCAAAGCCCCACATACTTTTCCTTTTCTCTGTGCCTGCCGTGTTCTTCGTCAGTGTCCTCTCTCTTTTCAGCTACTACTGTTGACTGGCTGGAAAAAATAGAACAATAGTAAAAACTGGAGACAAGTCTTTGGTGATGAAGAGAAACACTGACTACTTCCAGTAGTTTCTAGCTTTGGTTATGGTTGCAGTTTTCCAACTCACCTTCTGGGGATAGATTCAGAAAAAGTTTCTGTTACAAATTAAAATGAACATGCCAGAAATATTGGCTCAAATCAACTTTGTCCTATTAAGCCACTTAGAGAATCAAAAGACCACAGGCCGGGCTCAGTGGCTCATGTCTGTAATCCCACCACTTTGGGAGGGCAAAGCGGCTGGATAAACTGAGGTCAGGAGTTTGAGACCAGCCTG